GGAAAAGGAGCATTTTAGACATGATGGTGGAAGCTCCAGTCTATGGAGTACTATGCTAGAGATGGTCGTTTGTCCTGTGTTATCTCTGGCTAGTACGTCAGTTTTGCTCAGTCGAGGCAGTACTCTTTGTACCCAGATGTTATGTTTTGGTATTGGATGGGCTTTGTATTACTAAATTTTTTGACATGAAAAGGGAATTTTTCAGAAAAACAAGTTGAAATAACCATTGTAAAGAAAGAACGGGAATGGACTTTACAGAGACTGTTTTCTTTAATGCCTTGGATCTGCTGCTGAATCAAAATTCACTGTGGTGTGTGCCATAGAGTTCTTCAGCAACAAATTTTCTTGGTGACCTCTCTAATCCAGTGTTCTGTCTATCCCATGCGAGCATCAGCAGATGAAGAATTTTGATAAAGTAAAATCCACACAGTTTCACCCTTCAGCATCACCAAAATATAAAATTATGCTAATTGTTGGAATATAAAATTATGCTAATTGCTTTTCATTTTTAGACTGGTGCTGCTGTTTTCAAAATATTCTTGGTATCTATTTGAAATATATCTTCCTAAATTATAAACCATTAGTCTTTGGTTATTTTCATTTTTAAAACAGGCATAGTAAGTGTAAATGCAGGATGTAAAGTTCAATATACAAAGTTCTTTTTATTTTTTTTTTTTTTCCAACTAGTCAAAGTGCTTGTTGGCTGTCAGAGTAAACAAGCTACATAAATGTGGGTGGTTTTGAATGACGCAAAGTTCTTTTGTAATTCAAATACAAAGTACTGATTGGATTAACACTATGCTTGACACTCTAAACTCAAAACGTTTACATTTAATTTCTTCTTTGATCAAACCTATATTCCACATTTGTGTATGTCCTTCTACCAAATGCTTTTCTGTATCATTTCTAAATGAGGAACCATGTTTTGAATAGGAATAACAAATGGTTTTGAAGTGAAATACAGTAATACAAATTGAGATTTATTAACAAATCATATTCTTGATCTGTAGGAAGCAGCCATTCAGACTCATTTTTGAGCCCTGTTCCTGTACTAGAGAAAACAAAAATGGAAGATGAGGACGGGACAGATTCCAGTCATCCTCTCAGTACATTTGAAGATTCTGTGTCCCGCATGCCAGCTTCTGATACCTGTAGAAAAGAGGAGAGTTTGAAATCTCATAATCAATCTGTTTCATCCGTACCATACCGTAAGTCAGAGGGACAAGCTTCTGAAGCAGAAAACCCAGATAAAGAGGAAAATGTCCTGATAGAGGATGATGTGAGTGACCTAGAAAGCTGTGGAAGTAGCTTGGAACATGGAGGAGTGCCCATTGTAAAAAAGGATGAAGATGCTGGCATGGAAGCATCCGATGTATGTGAAGGAAATTACATCATTATAGTAATATATTCCTGATTTAATGAAATGTGAATAAAGATGTTTCTAATGAGACCTGATATCCATATTAAAGCACTTAAGAATATGCATGATTTTAATCAGATGCTAATTTGAACATGTTTAGAAGCGTTCAGGCAAGAGTGGGAATTTGGATCCAAAATTGGGGGTTGCTTGTTGACATATTTTCCCTCTGATTTTAGATATCTAGTAATTTCACTTTATATCTGTGAATCCACACAGTTAGCAGCTATTCTCAAGCTATTCCCGTGTTCGCTGACTGCCAGAATGAGCAAGGCTATCAGCTTTAATTATTGCTGTTGACATGAAATGGGAATTATTAGAGATGAGTGCTGTATTTGGTATCATGTATTTGTGTTTCAAAAAAATGGCTGTTTCGACTAAGTCTTAAGGAGAGTTAAGAGTATTCTGGTAAAATGTCAGTGGAATGGATTGATTTTGAGAGAATTACTGTCCAAGGACAGAACATATCAGTGTGGAAGCACATGGTAATTTATTTTTGGACTGAAGCCCTTCTAAAATGAAGAACTGGATGAAGCAAAGTTGAGGAGTGTTTCTGCACCAAGTTAGGTGAAAACGAAGTTTGCTTTTATGCTGTTATATTATCTCACATAGTTTATTAAATCTTACGGACTTTCTGACTTTAGTTGAAACTGTATTCATAGTATTAAAGTTGGAGAAAGTGAATCTTCAAGCCATGGCTATAGCAGGATAGAATGGGCCGTATGATTTCAGGGTCTGAAACTTGCTATTCTTGGATTTTGGAGATGGCCTAAAACATGTGAAAAACACTTCAAGGAAAAGATCCTTCTAATAAAAGGAATATCTTTTTAAATTTTTAAATGATAGGTTTAATAATGTTTTCTCATTTCTCACCTACAAACTTAAAGTCTTTTATTTATTATTCTTGCTGTTCTGCTGTGAGGGGCGGGCAGCTTTGACTTTAGGAAGCACAATAAAAAATCAAGCTGTAGTGGTAGTCAAAGTAGCTTTCTGAGTTGTGAGTTCAATCCCAGTGTGACAGAGAAAGAGCAGGAAATCCACTGCCAGTTTGCCAGATTTATTGGGAAATACATTTTAGAAGCTAAAGTAAAATCATGCTGACCCTTTCATAGACATGAACTGTGCACTAATGATTTTTTTGCGATGTCGTGAGTTTTAATAATTTGGCTCCACTGCTTCCACTGTAATAAGGAGCACTATAAACTTCTCAGTGTTTTAATCATCATGTATTAGAGATTGCATTTATCTCTTTCTGTGCCTTTCAGCCGTTTATATATGAGGTTTCAGATATTCTCAAGTATAATTGCATACTCTAATTTTTAAGTGAAGAGGCATGTTGTGCAGATGCAATTAAAAAGTCTGATCTTCTTTTCCTTTTTACTTAGTTGCTAAATTTTTCTAGATCATAAACCTGCCCTGTGCTTTACCCACATCTTCCTCTCTCTGCTTATCACAGTAAATACAATGTGGTTTTGTAATTTACTTCCTGTTTTATAGTAGTAATTTTCAACCCTCAAATCAGTCAAGGGGCACATATGTAACTGCTAGGTTAGATTCAGGGTGTTGAAGACCAGAATGCTCAAGTTGTGTGAGACACTGTCCTTCCCACCCTTCTGCTGGTGTGCTTGCCTGTCCTCTGCTCCTGAACCTCCATATACCATCAGCAGCTGTTTTGCTTTGTGATTCCACCACTGGCACTTAAATCTGGAGTTGTGAAAGCTGCGCTTCTGGAGTTTGTAGTGTTGGCTTTAGTTCCTCAAGCTTGGATAACTTCAAGCTGAATGTTCATAAGGATGCTTGCGGGAGGAAAGAATTTCCTCATATTCCCAAATCAACATGTTAATTGCATATCAGGACTCTTAATTTCTAATCTCAACTCCACATTTTTTTTTTTTTACTTCCTCAGCAATTTGCACTCTTTCACAAATGAATCAGTCGGTTTCTGCCTCATTTTCCCAGTCACGGTTACTGGCAGTGTTGTACTTCTGGTTCTGCAGAATTGTTTGGTCTGTTCTTCCTCTGAAACATTGTCTGAGCAAACCAGGATTTATGCTCTGTAATTTGGGAAGGGCTGCACTAACATACCTCAAACTATTTGTCTTTGACAAGGATTGCTCTTTTTTGATTAAATATATATTCTGAATTAGAGACAAATATTTTATTGGTACACTAAAGGTGCTTCAAGTACCCTGATAATACTTACAGAATTGACGTATGTGCTCATTTACAGAAGAATGTTTTTGTTCATCAAAATTAACTTTGCAGAATTTCATACTAAAGTAGTTGTGTTTTTTCCTTTTCAGTCAGTGGAAGTTGAAAGAAAGAAAGTATCTAAGAGTTGGCGTCATCCACTAAATAAACCCCCAGCTAGATCTCCAATGACTTTGGTTAAACAGCAAGCAACTAGTGATGAAGGTGAGTGTACTATTTAATGCATTTTTCTGATGAACTTTTTGTGTCTTTATGAGACTGTGGTGAGTTGACCTTGGCCAAAATGCCAGGTGCCCACCAAAGCCACTCTATCACTCCCCCTCCTTAACTGAACAGGAGAGAGGAGAGAAAAAAAATAACAACAGGCTTGTGGGGTTGAGATAAGGACAGGGAGATCACTCAGTATTTACCGTCATGGGCAAAACAGACTCGACTGAAGGGAAATGTGATTTATTACCTATTAACTGAGAGAGGAGTAATAAGAAAAAACCCCAAATCTTAAAACACCTTCCCCCCACCCCTCCCTCCTTTTCCCGGACTTAACTTTGATCCGGATTTTCCTCCCTCCTCCCCCTGCAGCAGCACAAGTGGGAAAACAGAGAATGGGGGTTGGGGTC